CATATTCAGAAAGTGCTTAACATGGATCCATGCTTGATAATTTAATTTTAAAAGGCAGTGTGACTTACCACAGGAATCTTACTGTCTTCGTGGATTTTATGCCTCATTTTAGTCTAAACCTGAATAAGAAAATGACTCAAAGAAAGTGGGCTGAGGCTGTAGCTCAGTGGTAGGGCACTTGCCTACAAATATAAGACCAGAAAAGAAGGGGAAAGGGGGAGGAAAGAAGACAAAGGAAGAATTCTGATGTACTTTTATTTTTTTTTTTGGACAAAGGCCCTAACTCACTATGTCTGTGCTAACACTCATCTTTAGGTTCAAGTCAAGAAACTTATAGAAATGGACTAGATATTAAGCATTTGGCTTCACAACCTGAAATTTGGGAGGAAGTATAGAAGCTAAGCATACAGATCAGACTGAGGAACTAGTTGAGGAAGGCGGTTCCCCCCCACCCTCCGCCCCCGAAGCCACAACCTTTGCTGCATGAATCTCTTTCTTCCTCTCCCTCTCCCTCCCCTCACACCCTGAGCCACCTTAAGTGAGGAGTCACGTGGACAGCTGGTAGTACTAGGCTGGCAGAGTGGACTGAAGTGGTTTGCTATGGAACTATTAATGTGAGAATCAAAACTCTTAAAGCAGCCTCCATAGCCAAGGGACAAGATGAAATCATAAGCCACGGTTTCTGTCAGGTACTAAACACCATGAACTCCGGCACGCTTTTCTTCCTAGGCTTCCAGAAACATCTGGAGTAAATATAAATCTTGTTTTCCATTGTTTTTGTTTGGCTCAAAGCAGATGGCAATAAAGACGCAGCAACTGCACAAGCCATTTGTCTATCAATGGTAGATGTTTGAGGCCTTCTCTGAATACTGTTAAGCTTGGTTCTAAAATGTCTTACACACAATACAGTGTGTGATTAAATACCATCAGCAATCAAGACAATCTAAGGGTCAATCTATATGTCCTGGACAGGAAGGAGTCGAGTAGGAGATCGAAACCTGGACTGAGCTTCAAAATACACATCACTTTGGGATCCTTGGAAGCGTCATCCAGAAAGAAGCCAACAACCAGGAGAGAAATATTTAAAAGCAGCAAGGAGGCCGCTCTGACTGAGGGGAAAGATTTTGCAAAAAACAATGAGGAGAAAGAAGCTGGGAAAACCAGCTCGGGGCATAGTGAGGAGATCCTTGAGAACCAATAGCCTCATGCTTTAGTCTTCATTTCCTGATCACCTGAGAACATTTTCTGAGAAGGATTACTTCACAGAGATGTCGAGGAGAACCAGTGTGTAAAATGGATGAGAAGTAGAGAACTTGTTAGGACTTGCGCCAGGTAGGACAAACTAGGAATCTAACAGGTGGCCTTGGGTTCTGAAAAGTGAGCTGAACACAGATAGCAATGTGATACAGCAAAAATCCTATCTAATGTAGAGCTTGAGATGAGGTCATTGGGAGAACAGAGGTAAGGCTAATGGAAGAATGAAGCGACTTTATTTATTTATTTTTTTGGGGGGTCCAGTCATGGGGCCTGAACTCTGGGCCTGGGCGCTGTCCCTCAGCTCTTCAGCTCAAGGCTAGCGCTCTACCACTTGAGCCACAGCGCCACTTCCCGCTTTTTTCTTTTTGCTTATGTGGTGCTGAGGAATCGAACCCAAGGCAAGCGCTCTACCACTGAGCCACCTTCCCAGCCCAATGAAGCGACTTTAGAAGAAAGGCAATGAGGAGTTTGAGAGTTAAGTTTAGGACAATGGTAACTGGTCCCACCTCCAGACCCCACTCCCAGAGGCACACAGCGTACAGCCAGGTCCTGGCTGAGAACGTTTCCGGAGGAGCATTCCCACAAAAACCCAATTAAGAGAAAATCTCTCTCCCTGGTTGCAAAAGCAAGTTCAAATGGATAAAATCGTAAACATGAAAATAAAACAAGTACCCAAACTGCTGACTTCTTTAAAAACACTATGACCTCACATTCACATGCTTTGGGTTTTTTTTTTTTTGTCATTTCTTTTGAACACTATTACTTTATGAAAAGATGCTCAGCATTATTCAGCCTTAAGGGGAACTAGGAATGAAAACCACCATCAGACACTATTAGCCAGTTGATTTTTTTCAAATCAACTAACAAGCAATACTAGAGACAGAGCCCCTGGACCCTGGGTGGGAAGGAGGGATGGGGGCGTCACCGTGGAACGCACCTTCCTAGTTCCTTATAAAATCAAACACATGCTTTCCTTGCAACCCATCAACACCACGCCCTGGTACTTTTAAAAACCAACATCCATACAAATCCTACAAGCAAATCTTTAGAGCAGTTTTTTCATACCCACCAAACCTGGAAGCATCCCACGTGCATATTAGTGATGAATGGAAAAACCAAAGCGCTGCACTGCACATGGACATACCTTGAAATACTACAAAGTGATTTTAAAAAATTACCAATGAAGAATCAGCATGAAGAACATCAAGAGTTCTACTGAAGTGAAGGAAGGCACAAGATGCCCTGTGATGGATATATGCTATCTACTCAGGGAACAGTGTGGAAAAGGGGAAAACACAGGTTTGGAGCAGAGGGAACACTGAGGGAACTTGGGAGCGCTAGAAAACACTTGGTTGTAGTGGTGGTTCCCAACATCTGTCAAAATTTGCAAAAATGCACACCTTTAAGGAGTGAAGTTTATCATGTCTTATTCCTCAAGAAGCTCAAGTTCAAAAATACATGGCATCTTCATATGTATGTTTTTAACTTCTTTTAAGCACAGCTTGATATCTATGATTGCCGTGACATGACTTTAACTAGGTAGAGTCCTCCATATGTCCTTCACAGGGGGAAGAACTGAGCCTGTGCCTTCCCCTCTCTGGGCCTCCAGACAGTCCTTCACAGAGCTCAGGCATGAGGATGGCAGATCATGCAGATCTGGGTGGATGCTGCTTATTGAGGCACACATAAAGTGAAGCTTGTTTGCTGGACAGCTGTTGGCTTATTGTTCTCTGCCACACACTAAAAGGGAGTGCTGGTATGCTAATGGAATGTGACCTTCTCATTGGATGGCTGTCACTTCATGCCTCAAAAGCCTGCCTGAGAAATCTATTTTCATCATGCACCACACAGAATAACATACTCAGAACAAAATAACAATAAAAGACCAAAAAAGCTATGTTAAATAAGTACTACTACCTCTTGAAATCAGATCACATATAAAAACTATTTCTCAATAGTTAATGTTATTTTTATTTTAATGTTATTTTTATTTTGTCAATTGTGGGGTTTGAACTCAGGGCCTGGGCGCTGTCCCTGAGCCTCTTTGTAATCAAGGCTAGTACTATACCACTTGAGCCACGGTACCACTTCTGGTTTTTGAGTAGTTAACTGGAGATAAGAGTCTCTCTGGCACTTTTCTGCCTGACCTGGCTTTGAATTGCAATCCTCAGATCTCAGCCTCCTGAGTAGCTAGGATTACAGGCATGAGCCACTGGGTGCCCACCTAATATTGTTTTTAAGAGTAATGTTAGTAGGGTACTGGTGGCTCATGCCTGTAATCCTAGCTACTCGGGAAGCTAAGATCTGAGAATCATGGTTCAAAGCCAACCCGGGCAGCAAAGTCCGTGAGACCCTTATCTCCAATTAACCGCCAGAAAACCAGAAGTGACACTGTGGCTCAAGTGGTAGAGTGTTCGCCTTGAGCTGAAGAGCTGAGGGACATTGTCCAGACCCAAAGTTCAAGCCCCGCAACCAAAAAAAAAAGTCATGTTATATATAAACTTATTATTCTTTAGTGTATAACTTCAATAGAGTTCAAATAACTCATGACATTGTTCAAAAGATATTGTGTATGATCATTTAGTGAATAGTAATTCTATACAATTATGGATTCCTTTTGTTTCACTTTTTCTAAGGACTAGATTTTTTTCTTTTCTTTCTTTTTTTTAGGGCAAGGAGAACACCAGTCCTGGCGTTTTAACTTGGGACCTCCAGTTCTTATTAAGCTCTTTTGCTAAGGCTGACACTCAACCCTTGAGCTCTACCTCTAATCTCAGATGGCTAACTGTTGGTAACAGTCTCAGATTTGTCTGCATAGGCCAACTCTGAATCTGAATTCTCTCTCAGCCTCCTAAGTACCTAGGATTATAGGCAGCAGCCACCAGTGCCCAGCTAGCTATCCAGATACCGTGCCATTTTACCTTTCGTTATTTATGAGTCATTTTTACTTCACTAAGATCTTTCTATCTTTTTTCACCATTAGCCCAGCAAGAAATACATAGAAACCCAATAAAACAGGAATTCAAGAACATGCACACAGGTATAACATGAAAGTTTTCAAAAATAGTACTTTTCCTTACCATGTAAGAGGTTCTCTAATATTTTATTAGTCTTTAAAATGCTGGCATTTAAAGTACATAGGTATTATGTACTTAATATCATGCTCCACACCTTTCAGTATCACTGTGGCAAAGCCTAATGCAAAGTCTATGTGTAATCAGATTTTAAATTATTTTTCCTCCCTGAACAAATGAGTGTTTTCTCCAGGAGTTACTCACTAGTGCCCACACTGCTGTTTCTCACTAAGGGCTCCACATCTTACTGGGAACCCCATAGCCTCCTCTTGCCTGCTTGATGTGTCTCAAGGAGTCCTGGCCTTTCAATCATTCATGGCCTCGCTGTCTTTTCTGTACTCTTGCTGATGTTACATTTTCTCTCTCTCTTTCTCTTTTTTTCTCTCTCTCTCACACACACACATACTTGTACACTTATACAGTGAAATAAAACACATATGTGTGAAGAAAAACAGCAGTAATATGGAAATATGCAAAGACAAAGCTGTTTCTTCAGTCCTGCCTGCTCTCTGCATTCCTAATACCAGATGAGACCAATGGAACAGGCTCACTGTGCAAATCACGTGCACAAGACCTTCTCAGCTGTAATACTGAGTCTTAAACTCACCATTATATTCTATTGGTGAAAACGGACAGAGATTGCATGCATATGAACCTTGAAAAACTTACTTTTAAGGACTCCCACAAGGGAAACTGGACCAAAGAGAAAGGAATCTGGGGAAGAGGAGAAAAAAACAAAATAGGTGAGAAAAATCAGCATTTGTCTGGCATTCTTTGTTGTAAAACCCTGTAATTATCAGAGACATTTCATTTTAACTTTAATATATGTGTATACAACTTTACATATACATGCACATACATACACATAAAAATAGCCAATATTAAGCAAATTTATGCAGGTTGAGAAGAAGAGGAATAATGTAGTTATAAACCCTCCAGTTTTTCTAGCCCACACACATCAAGTGACAGTGTGAAATGGAGGGAAAAGCACATGTGAACAAGTCCTGGGCACTGAAACACGAAAGCCTGTATCCCAATGGACCATTCCCGTAAGCCTGTGTACCATCCACTCTGGCCCAGTGGGCCAAAGCTGCAGTGACAATGCCTGGGCACACTCTGGCCCCAGTGATGTCATCTGTCTTCAGCTCAGTCCCTAATGGTGGTCAGTGTAGACTCGAACCTATGGCAAGTGTGAAATTAACAGGGATTTGCTTCTTATTAGGGCATGAAGTTGCTTCTCACGTTTTTGTATTTAATCATAAACTTAAAAGTCCAGCAATTAATTCTGCTAGAGTAAGAGGGAGGCTTGAGTTTGACAGTTACCACAGAAAGAAAATCTGCCTTCTATTCAGAAGGAAATGGCAAAGAAAGAGAGAAAAATCAATGCTTTTAGCTTGAATTAACTGTCTAAGTTCCACTAGGGAAGTCAACTGTAGTTTAGTTGTTTTAGTCATCAAACACAAAAGGATCGACATGGTCTGATTCGAACATGAGCTATACTTTCAATTAATTATCAAAACTCCAAACTTGATTATATAATGTTATCTAAAGCTTTTCTAAATTTCTAAAAATGTATATATATATATATAATAAAACATGCCCCAAAGGACTAACTGGTAGTATTATAGATTATTTTCTTCTCTCCTAACAGAAATATGAATATTTCACATTTGTAAGATGAAAAAAGCTTTAAAATTTATTGTAAGATCCTTGCTAGGACTTTTCTTGTTTAATATAACCCATAAAATTTTAGGGTGATGGTCTGAATGTTATCTGAACTTACTGTGGTACTTAATGCTGTTAGATTGTACATTCTATGGACGAACACTAAGGCTATTTTCCTCTATTAAAGTTATTCATCAAATTGTTCCTTTGGTTTAAAGAGGTAATTTAAAAATCACACATCTGGAATAGCCAAACAATTCCAGTGGATATTTATTTTAAAAAGCAAACCAACAGTAAACCTCAACTTTACTCTCTAAACCAAAATTAACTGACAGCCGAAGACAATTAAATATGCTATAAATGCTTAAATAATTAAATTTATTTTTGGCTTCCAGTAAGATAAACTCCTGATGTGTGAAAATTCTTCAAAGTTCTTCAAGCTGAATTGTGTTGCACACTTGCTGTCATTTCCAGAATAGAAAACCATGGTGGAAATGTGCTGCACACATGTGGAAGAACTGTCACAAACAGCTCCACAGTGAACACAAACGTTTCCCCTGGCCTTAGCACAACACAGCGCCCTGCCCTGCCCTGCCCTGCCCTGCCCTGCCCTGCCCAAGAGCTAGCTCCCCCCATCCCCCAGTCAGCTCTGCAGTTACACAACAGTGATGGTTCTTCAAAATGTGCAATTTTATACCCCAAACAGCTGTAAACTGTTATTCTACTATGTTTTATAGATGAAGAAAATGAATAGCTCCACTCAGAAGTCTTCTACTCCAAAACATAGCATACTCACGTTATTGCACCAAACATTACAAAACCACTCACTGTCATGACCTGTTTAAAGCCACCGCGTAAGATGTTGTGTTTGAATAAGGTTGTTATGACCCAGAGCACTAATAAGTGAGAGGCCATAAACCCAGCCACCATCAAAGATGCAGATGTGGAGGAAATCTGCTAAAATACAACCTGGGCTCCACTTAGCAACAAACAAACATCGCAACAACTGTACTCCAGCAATTACTGAGGATTCCAGGGAAGGAAGATAAAGAGAAATCTATGAGGTAAACAGGAGGAAGGGGCATAAACAATGTATACAATTATGTTATGAACACTCCTTTTTGGTGGCTGTTGTTATCTACCATCTTATGAGCGCTCCTTACCTTTCCTCAAGTATTAGACTGTAACTCTAGAGTCCTTCAAAAGCAAGAAAGCAATTTATAATATAATGGCAGGGTCATGAAGATAGAATTTCTAAGGTATCATTTTCCTTAAAATTTTACTTTTCAATAGAACTCACATCAGAATACCAGTAAAAAATCCAGTGTACTGCCTAGTAAGAATGACGCCCTGTGTTCAAACCCCAGTATTGAAAGAAAAAAAATTAAAGAAAAGGAAAAAGAAAAAAAAGTCTTAACTATAAGTTGCAATGCACACAACATCATTAAGTGACCTGGGAAGCTTAAAGAACAAACAAAATCATTTCAAAAGCTGTGTAAGTTACCATATATGGCAGAAACAACCAGAACTCTCCAGGAGTAAGATTTTTAAAACTCAAGAAAACTGTGTGCAAGACCTCCATTACAAGGGGTTTGAAAGTCAGCAAGGAAGTGGTAGGGTTGCCACAGATAGAGTAGTGGGTACAAGGGCTGGGCCATTCTCATTTCCAAGAGATCCTACAAATGACTCACAGAGGAGCTTCCTGCACTGCATGGCAACTTCCAAGTCGCTGTGCTTGGCTAGGGTTGTGTCCATTAGTATCCCACTATGCCTTTACCCACTCCACTTTGGTGGTACCAAGAGTAAGGGAAGGGAGGCTCAGATCTCCTTGGCCCATAGTGACAATTACAAAGTGCAAAAAAGGGCTGGGATTTAGCCTAGTGGAAGAGCCCTTGCCTGATAAGTGCAAGGCCCTGAATTTGGTCCTCAGCTCTGGAAAAGAAAGGAGCGGGGAGAAGGAGAGAAAAGAAGGAAGGGAGGAAAAGACAAAGTATAAGAACCTCCAATGTAGATTGCTAGCATTTGACCTATCAGCAAAGAATTTTAACCATAAATACCCTTTGTGGATTTATTTCTTTATTTTGCTTACTTGCCTAAATGGTGATCTTTTCATGTAAGCTACTCCTCCTGTCCTGGTTTTTGCTATTTATTTTAGAAATTGAGTTTCAAAGGCTCTTCCATCTAGGCTGGCTTCAAATCACAATCTTCCATACTGCAGCCTCCTGAGTGGCTAAGATTAGAGGTATAAACCACTGGTGCCTGTTCATGTTTTGTTTTGGTGCCACAGCTGGGGCTTGAACTCAGGGGCCTAGGCACTGTCCCGGCGATTTTGTGCTCAAGGCTAGTGTTCTACCTCTTGAGCCACAGCTCCACTTCTGGCTTTTTTGGCTGTCAGTTGGTGGTAAGGCTGATCGGAAGGTGCCCAGGCTGGTTTTGAACTTCAATCTTCAGATCTCAGTCTCCTGAGTAGCTAGGATTACAGGTGTGAGCCACCAGTGCCCAGTCTTCCTTTCGTGGTTTTTAATTAACTACAAACACATACCTGTGCGTGCGAGCGCGCATGCACGCGCACGCTTGTCAGTGCATGCCCATCGAAGTAGCAGAGAAAGGAGAGGAAGAATCCACTGTGCAAGTAGCAAGTACATCAGAGTCTGTAAGTGAAGAACCTGAAGCTGCTGCCAATCACTAACAGTGCTAGAGGCAAGGGGGGAAGGTTGCTCATACATAGTGACATTATGATGAGATTTTTCTATCTCTATAGTCTACAGCATCACCATAGCAATCTAGGTGAAAGAAGCTCCTAGAATATCATTTTCCACACTGGTGTTCTCAGATATATGACAATATTTTATCATATTATTTTGTTGTAATATCAGATTAGTCTGTAATTCACTATAGTTTGGAAATCCTGAAAGCAAATCTCTCATATTTTAAAAGTATGTAAGTATGTAACCTATTATGATAAAACTACTCATCAACCTAAGAAGAGACAAGACCAGGCGCCAGTGGCTCATGGCTGTAATCATAGCTATTCAGGAAGCTGAGCTCTGAGAATCACAGTTTGAAGCCAGTCAGGGCTGAAAATTCCATGAGACTCTTTTCTCCAATTAATCAGAAACAAGCCAGAACTGGAGGTATGTATCAAGCGATGGAGCACCAGCTTTGAGCAAATAAACTAAGGGACAGTACTCAGACCATGAGTTAAACCCTAGTACAGGCACAAGTAAAAAATAAATAAACAGACCAGGTGGTTCCTGCCTGCGATTCTTCCTAGCCACTCAGGAGACTGAGATCTGAGGATGGAGGTTTGAAGCCAGCCCCAGTACTCAAGTCTATAAGACTTAACCACCAAAAAAGCTGGATTGGAGACATGGCTCAATTGTAGAGTGCCAGTCATAAGAGAAAAAGCCTAGCAAGAGACCCAGTGCTACCCCCCTCTCCCATCCCCCCAAAATGGGAGTGAACATGAGGAGAATAAAAATCTCTATTTTCTCTTCTGCAACTAATAAAGGTGAAACCTCTCATATTAAAACCCAGAATCTTGGAAATCATTATTTTACTATCTCTAGGGAAAAAAAAAACTAACTGAAAAAGTGTATTATTTCTAAGTCTAGAAATTATTGTAACTATGGTAATTAATTTCTTTTTTTTTTCTTGGTTGTAGAACCTAAACTCAGGGCTTGGGCTCTGTCCCTGAGCTCTTTTGCTCAAGGTCTACCACTTTGAGCCACAGCCCCACTTCTGGGTTTTGAGTGGTTAACTGGAGAGAACAGTCTCACAGAGACATTTCTGCCCAGGCTGGTTTTGAATGTGATCCTCAGATCTCAGTCTCTTGAGTAGCTGGATTGTAGACGTGAGCCACCAACACTTGGATACTTTCCTTTTTACAAATTAGGAAACTAGGTAAAAATGTATGAGAGCTATAAAATAAGTGAAAAATGAGTAATATCTTAAAGACTTAAAGCAATCTGGTACAGTGCTCAGAATAGAAAATGGTTTGTGAGTCAAGTTATTGTGTAAGATATTGCTGACCATTCTATGGCTTTACA